ATTTTATTTCCTGTCTATGCTATTTGTATATGTGCAGCACTTTAAACTAAAACCAGGGTTCATAAAGTGCTTTATAAATAAAGACGGCATGGTATGGTAATTGATGTGTAGCAGGTTTTTGTCATGGCATCACACTGGCAGAAAGCACGGATCAGTGCTGGAATCTGTAGCTCCCAGCAGCATCGGCCCCATGACTCTCACATGCACCACCAGCTGAGAATGAAGCAAGTTGGTTCACTGCTTCAGGCACAGGGCTGTACAAGTCTTACAAGTCTTTATCAATTTTATTTTAATTTCACAGCTTCTCTTCTTGCTCTAGGCTAACTATAACTACCCCTACAGCACAGAGTTCAATAATGCTGTTCTTTGTGAACATTTTGTAGAACCTTCAGTTCAGTTTGTTCTGTTCTTGCAATAATAGAAAATAGGAATGAATCTGGGAACAGATGATGTATCATCATCTATTCATCATTTTATCCTAATGAACTTATAGTACCATATCACCCTATTAGAGCACTTCACTCTCGCTCTGCAGGCCTACTTGTTGTTCCTAGAGTATTAAAAATTAGAATGGGAGGCAGAGTCTTCAGTTTTCAGGCCCCTCTTCTTTGGAACCAGCTTCCAGTTTGGATTCGGGAGACAGACACTATCTCTACTTTTAAGATTAGGCTTCAAACTTTCCTTTGTGCTAAATCATATAGTTATGGCTGGATCAGGTGACCCTAAATCCTCCCTTAGTTATGCTTCAATAGGTGTAGGCTGCTGCCCATGATGCATTGAGTGTTTCTTCTTCGGTCACCTTTCTCACTCACTATTTGCACTGAATCATTAAATTGAGTTTTCTCTATATGTATGTATCTATATGTAGGGTGTACCTTATGCCTACCTTGGCACTGTATAAATAAAATTGCATTAAATTATTTACATTTTTTTTTGTTTTTTGTTTTTTTCGTTTCTTTAATTGGTCAGTGCAATGAGCATGCAGTGTCAGTGTTATATTGTCATCTACCAGTGGCTGTTATGAATATAGTTCTGATGGTCTTCCTTTCTTTCAGGGGAAAGTTTGCTGTGGTCAGAAAGTGTGTGGAGAAGTGCACGGGTCATGAGTACGCTGCTAAGATAATGAGGAAGAGACGGAAAGGGCAGGACTGCCGGATGGAGATCATCCATGAGATTGCACTACTTGAACTGGCCAGCGCCTGTCCCCATGTGGTCAACCTCCACCAGGTCTACGAGATGGCTTCAGAGATGGTGCTAGTTCTGGAGTTGTGAGTGTCAAAAATTCAAGGTTGAAACCTTTCCTTTCATGTTGTTTAGAAATGGAGACCTACTGGGAAACACCAGCAGACATACTGCAAAGAAACAGAATGGCAATTCAAAAGTGCAAAAACGTAAAGGGGCAAAAATTGCATTTTCAAATTGTTTTTGGCGCAAAGTTAGCAAACATTTTAGGATAAATACTGTACATCCTTTTTTTATCCCGGTAAAATGAATTAATGATAATTTAGATAATGCTCCACAGTAATGGTGTAGTAAGTGCCCAGAAGCATTTCACAGTGGCTATCAAGTGGCGACACTTGCTTGACACCATATTAACCATAGACTGTTTATAAAGATTTATAATCCAGAGTAAACTTGTAATCACTGTTAATTATATTAAGGTTACTGGCAGTTACTGTGAGAATAAATCTTATGAAAATTCTTTGTTTTGCTATAAAGATCTCTTTCAGGGTCTTTTAAGCTTTTTTTTTTTAGTCTCAAAAATCACCACTTATTCAAAAAAAAACTACCGGTAATGCTTCTCAAAATATCTTGAAAAAAGTAAATTACATTTTAAATTATTTACATCAAAATGATAATCTCAGGAAATCCACTCTCAAGTTGTTAGAATATTTAAGATTTAATGAAAAAGGATTTACAATCCGGAAATATCCATCGTCTGAAAAGAGTTTTTAGGTAAGTTGTAGTACTATTTCCACACTCCAAACTTGGCTGGACCTTCTTTACCATTAATTTCAGTTTCAGCAGTGTGACATGTTTTTGTAGCAGCATTCATCTCATCTGTATTTTTGGGTCAGGGATTTCTCCTCTTCTACTTGACAGTGCCCCTTAGATTCCCTGTGTCGCTTAGGTCACAGTGAACCAACAATCACCCACACTAGCAGATTACATGACACCCCATATCACCACAGACTACAGAAACGTCATGTGATTTCCAAATGAAATATATTTACTTCCATCTGAAACGAGGACTTTGGGCTGATATTGTCTCTGATTCAAGAGTGACTTGATATTAGGAATGTGACAGTCGTAGCTCCTTTCCTCAGGACATCTGTATGTGGTGGCTTTCACCCCAACCTCAAATATCTGCTCAGTTTATCAAGACACCACATATTTTCAGAAGTGGTCCGACGTTTTCGGAGACGTCTGTTACCCACCAGCTCGATAGCTAGCCGGGGTTTAAGGCTCACTAGAGCCGGTGAGAACACCGGACTCCCGGCAAATCGTTTTCAAACCCACCGCCGTCTTTCGCTACTCAGGTTAAACATGATATATAAGTCACTTAGATAAACTTAAAAATGTTATTGTTTGTCTTTTTTCAGTATTTTATTTGTTCCTGAGTAAATTGGTTTGGCTGAGATTAAAGTTATAGTTTTTACACAGCTGAATAAACGTCAATAAACTGATTAAACAGAAGTGTGCAAGTCTGCAAATTTCATTAAAATGTAATAAACTATCATCTTGTCTTTATTTTTAGTCAGCACATACCTTAAACACTTAAAGCTGTAAGCTAATGATAGTTATATAAGAGCAGATGCTGCTGGTGCAATAAGCTGTACGTTTTACATGATCTGATTAGTCGACTAATCGCAAAAATAACCTGTGACTAGTCAACTATCAAAATAATCGTTTGTGGCAGCCCTGTTGACAATCCTCTCTATGATGCAGTCATCCCTGTTCCTTGTGAGCCCTGTCCTACAACAATTTTTAAGTTTCCAATCATTTTCATCAATGATCATTTGTCGCTTAAGCACCTTGTGAGGTGTGTCACTGAACTTCATCCCATGATTGCAGTTACTTGTACTGAACTGAATTTATACTGTTTGAGTAGTAATTTCCTCACACTCAAAATGAAATACTGTACCAATTAGAGAAAATGGATTTCCAATTTTCCATCCATCCATCTTCATCCGCTTTATCTGAGGCCGGGTCGCAGGGGCAGCAGCCTAAGCAAAGAGGCCCAGACCTCCCTCTCCCTGGCCACCTCCTCCAGCTTATCCGGGGGAATACCAAGGCGTTCCCAGGCCAGCCGAGAGATATAATCTCTCCAGCGTGTCCTGGGTCTGCCCCGGGGCCTCCTCCCGGTGGGACATGCCTGGAACACCTCACCCAGGAGGCGCCCAGGGGGCATCCTTGTCAGATGCCCGAACCACCTCAGCTGGCTCCTTTCGATGTGGAGCAGCAGCTGCTCTACTCTGAGCCCCTCCCGGATGGCTAAGGGAGAGGCCAGCCACCCTTCGGAGGAAGCTCATTTCTGCCGCTTGTATCCGCGATCTCGTTCTTTCGGTCACTACCCACAGCTCGTGGCCATAGGTGAGGGTAGGGACGTAGATCGACCGGTAAATTGAGAGCTTCGCTTTTACACTCAGCTCCCTCTTCACCACGACGGACCGGTGCAGCGTCCGCATTACTGCAGGTGCAGCCCCAATCAGTCTGTCGATCTCCGGCTCCCTTCTCCCATCACTCGAGAACAAGACCCCGAGATACTTGAACTCCTCCACTTGGGACAGGAACTCATCCCCGACCCGGAGTGGGCACTCCACCCTTTTCCGGCTGAGAACCATGGCCTCAGATTTGGAGGTGCTGATCCTCAGTCCTGCTGCTTCACACTCGGCTGCGAACCGTTCCAGTGCGAGCTGGAGGCCCTCACCTGATGAAGCCAACAGAACCACATCATCCGCAAAAATCAGAGATGAGATTCTGAGGCCACCAAAGCGAAAGCCCTCCGCCACTGGGCTGCACCTAGAAATCCTGTCCATAAAAATTATGAACAGAACCGGAGACAAAGGGCAGCCCTGGCGGAGCCCATCACCCACCGGGAACGAGTCCGACTTATTGCCGGCAATGCGAACCAAGCTCTTGCAACGGTTGTATAGGGATCGAATGATTTCCAATTTTTAAAAATGAAATTAATTTTAAAAATTTCATTTTTCTAAAATGAAAGTTTAGTTTTTCAAGCTTTTTTTCTTTTATAAATATTTTTAGATGCACTAATATTTGTATTATTTTGAATGATCACGTTGCCATGGAATAGTAGACTTATGGACTACTATTGTACATAGTGGGGTTAAACAGAGGGGTATTGGTGTGAATGAGCTTTCTGGTCCTACAAAGCTTCAGGCCAAACTTTAATGCTTCAGCAAACACTAGCTATTCTAACAATGTGCTCTGCTTTTTTCTTATGTATACACACACGCCATTTGCATTATAGGATATGGATTTGGTTTCCTCTGTCTTCTGGTGAGGAGGACAGACAGACAGCAGTAACAGAGACAAACTGAAAGACAGCTCCGTCTGAGCTAGCGTGGCATTATTACACATAAATGGGAAACTGTAATTTAGGCTGCAGTAGCTGCATGAGTTGTTGATCTCATCTCACTGGTCACGTTTGGGTATGCTTGACCTGGTTCTTACTGTGTGCGTGTGTGCGTGTGTGCGTGTGTGTGTGTGTGTGTGAGTTCATGACATGCCAGGCTGATTAAGGTCTCTCTCACTTCCAATCTCTTAGTCTATCCTTGTCTCTATCCCTGCCAATGCCATATTGGATTTTGCCTGCATGCCAGACCATAGTGAATCCCACCTCCCCCACACGCACGCACGCATGTATGCGTCCGTGCGTGCGTGCGTGCGTGCATACTCACAGACGCACAGAATGTGTGTTTAACCAGTTGAGAGCAAACTGCCAGATTAGATGGCATTGACACATTCTGGATCAGCTGTCATGTGTACACAGAACCTCTGACAGTGCTGAGGATTGTACTAGTATTTTCACTGCACAGACAGAATGGTACATGCCAGTTATCCCAATTGTTAGGAAGTCCAAGTGAGTCTTAAAGCTTTTAAGAATAATTAGGAATCCCACATATGAGGTCACCTCTTATGTTATTTTTCTTCTCTTGTGTAGTTCTCTTAACCAAATGTGTCATTTCTTGAAACCAACTATACTTTATTGGGAAGGTTTAGTCTGCTCAGCCTTCCCAAAAAGGACAAGAATCCACTGCTGTGATGACAAGGAGAGAAGGGTTGAAACTGAAGACTGATTCCTCCCTTGGTCTCGTACTGAGCTACTATATCATAGTATTTATATGATGAAGTAGCTACGTGGTACACATGCATGTGTCCTGTGCTACATGGCTAAAAAGATAAAATTCTAAACAACAGTTGAAGAGAACTCATTTAATATTTAACACATAAATATTAGACTTTGTTATTTATTGAGGATAATGGTCTATTAATAAAAGTCAAAGTATGCAGACATTTAGGATTACCAGTTAATTTGAAGGTGAAATCCGATGCGGGTTTTGATTTAAAGTGGTGCTCCCCATTATGTTTTTCTCCACAAATATTTAATACATGGTCATGGTTTCACAGCCAGCCTTAGAATGTTTGCATCATGTCTTTGGCATCTAAGCAGGAATGACAAATTTCTGACCAAAACTCGTTGCATTTAATGCAGTTTTTTAGCGCTTAATTTGTCAGTAGCTGAAGAAATGTAATGTCATGTCCACAGCCTGGGCCTCATATTTCACTCTGTCTGTGAGAGATGAGTGTGTGTTCTGCCAGTGTTTCACAGATTATAGTGTTTTGCAGGATTATGTGCTGTCAGCAGCACATGCCATACAGTGCAATCTGTCCAGTTAAGAAGATCCCATAAGTTCGTTTTTTTAAGTGCTCTAGTAAGCCCACCTCAGTCTGTAATCCCAGTCCCAGCCATTGCTCATATAAAGGCTAATCACAGAATTAAGTGCCGTCCTGAATGCGGACACATCTCTCACACACACAGACCAAACCATACTGCACTTTGACTGGTGTTATATGAAATTAACAGTAGATGTATAAGTATAACGATACAAGAAATGTTTGTGTCTGCCAGTCTGTCTGTCTCTTTGTTCATTTATGTGTTTAGGAATGCAGTATTTCTATCTAGCTTATAATTGGTGTTGGATCAGGTGACCCTGATTCTGCTCTAGGCTCAGGCTGCCCTTGT